TTTTTGAAGGGAATGGTGACTTGTGGTCAGGATGGCCCCAGATCGCCATCCCCAAAGATTCATGTAAAATCTCTGAAAACACACAAAAACACTGCAAAAATGGGGGCCCCACAGCGTCCCACCCTCTATATATACATATATATATATATAACCCATATGGCCACCAGCAGTAGGTTTCAGAATTTGGGGTGCCCTTAGGGGGTAAGGGTGTTAGAGCTCAGGGTTTGGGAGGTTGCACGCAGGTGGCACCTTCTGCGACTCTAGAAAATATACGGGTACCATGGAGCCCTCATAAGAGTTCGGCAAGGTTTCTTCTGAAAAAAGATAGGCTTATGCACGTTTTCTCCAGCTACGCACTATCTATAGTCCCCCATAAGTAGATAGAATATCGGGTATATGGGGGTCTTATTATAATATACCCAAAGCCAGATTCTATTTACTTAAGGGGGACTAGATCCTGAGGGCTAGCATGCAATATTGAAAGAGGGGGGCGTGGGAATGTTTGGGTGAGGCGAGTAGTGATGCTAGCATTCCCCGACTCCTTCTCGTCCGTTATTCTTCTTATCCGTTATCCCAGATATCCCTATATTACACCAATATAATATCAGAAAATATTCCCGAAATATAATAATAGTTTCCATTTTCTTTTCCATTATCCCTATATTACCCCAATATAATATCCCCATATTCTCCCAAAATGATAATCGTTTCCATCCTGAACGTCTGAAAGAAAGCTTCCTTCCACCTGGTCAAGGAGCCATTCCGCAATCCAATATAGTGGGATAATGGAAAAGAAAATGAAAACTACTATTATATATTGGGGTAATATAGGGATAATGGAAAAGAAAATGAAAACTACTATTATATTGAAATGGATTTGGAGGGCTCCTAGCAAAAACCTTGAAAGAAGCGAAACCTCATGGAGAAATAGGAGCTCATGTCTAGATCCCTGTAAACCCTTAAACCTACTCACGGGTGCTGAAGGTGCATCTGTAAGTGCCCATGTTAATGACTCAAACTACGACACTGCATGGACATTTCGCAGGCAAAAACCCTAAAGAATGCCTGATGGGTAATTACCTCTTGCAAATCCCATATAGATCCCTTAATTTTCAGGGTTCACAAATGATTCAGGTCTCCTCCTCTATAATAAAAACCAAAACGTTTAACAGTTCCGTAGAGATAGACTACAATCGAAACTCAAAACGAAGGCCTCCCAAAATTAGCGGTACCATTTTGGGGGTCCCTAAGCGGGATTACAATATTTTGGCGTCTATAGTGGGGTTCCCTTATTCCTGCAGGGATAGGAGGCCTGGTTCTCTGTCGAGCTCTTGCTCTTCGTGGCGTCTTGCAGGTTCCTGGATAAACGCCCCCTTGTGCGGGGTTGATGTTAGCTTTGGAATAGCAAATGGGTTCGTGATAGAGCGAACTCTTGGCTGAATGGATTAATGAAATGGGGACAGAACAGAACGAACTTTTTGCCAAATTAAGAACCGGAATTGATCCCCGGCAATGGAAAGTTAACTGACATGCCCGGAGAGCCCCGAAACACGAACACGTTTGCCGAAATTCAAGCTTCCCTATTCAGTTCCTCTACTTCTTTGGGGGAGGGGGTGTGGAGGAGTGCGTTTAGTAATCAGACCCCCCCTTTATGTGGGGATAGCGGAAAAGAACATGGAGGCGACGATCTAAGTTCGGTTTGAGGGAAAGAAAGCCCCAATAATAGAGAATCACGTGGAAAACCAGATGGAAGATGAAATGGAATCTACGACAGGGTTTAGGGTGCCAGGTTTGGGGTTTAGGGTTAGCGACATTTCCCTCAATACTGGAGAAATAAATGGAAAATCACAAGAAAACTACATGGAAGCTACCGTATATAGCGAGATATGGGGATGTTATGGGGGATGTCTCCCCAACAATGGAGAATCAAATGGCACAGACAATGGAAAATGAAATGGAAACTGAGCTTGCACCCTCAAGCCATTCCTTACTTGTTTAACGCATAGGGCCGTAGGTGGAGCAGAATTGCTGAGAAAGAAACATCACGCGAACTCGCCACCCAACCAAACAGGACATCATGATTCAACCTTGGGAGTGGAGGCAACTATCAGATGAGCTATAGTCTAAACTCCTTAAAGGGGGTTATGTAGGGGATTATATGGGGGACTACTGTAGGGGTGATTAAGGGAGATACTAGGAGTTCAGACTATAGCTCAGATGAAGTCTTCTCCTGCGTACAAATGCCTTCGCTCCCACTGGGCAAATCTAAAATAGTGTGTCCTCAAAGATTGAGATGAAAGGTTGCAAGTTCAGGAACACTTATCCCAGAACGCGCCCTTGTCCTGGCAATGTCTGCGCTCTCCTTCTTGTCTGCCTGAGCGTTGCTACGACACAATAGGAGTACATGGGGTGTTTTCTCCTAACGCAGATTACGTATAGACTCTGGGTATCTTCGGGTACTTGGGGATTTACCATCGCTCATATCAATACTCAAATGTGCGCGTACTGTTTTCCTTACTTGTCTTCTGGGCATTTGCCAAGATCTGGGTGCCTGTAAACGCAACCCCCCAGATGCCAGAGTCCTTTTGGGACTCGGGTAATGATAATGCATGACGGAGAATTCACTGGCTGCTATAGAAAAGACACCCTAAACCTTATACCACCAGCACTACGTGAGTGGAGGAATGGGCCTCCAAGGTCTTCTTGAGCTCACGTTGCTTCTTGACGGCCAGCTTCTGGCAGGCCGGGATGCTTTGCACGGGTTTAGGCGCTGTGCCCCCGGAATGCTGGTACCCGATAGTACATGCACATACTCGAGTGTAGGACCCGCATTTGGAGAACTCCAAACGGTTGAATCACTAATTAGTCCCAATGCAATATACATCTGAATACACTCAGCAGAGATGAGAACGCTTTGTTTTGAGAGTTGGGTGTGCGAATCAAGGGCGCGTTCTTTTTCATGGCTGAAGTTAATTGTTGCACTTACAAACTGATAATTTGCCAGACCTTCAGACATCTATCAGCGTACAAGCAAGATACAGCCAAAATCTTCTTCCAAAGCATAGGTTGGCAAGAATGAAAATTATGGATGGTACTGTACTGGGAACCAAGACGTTGTTGTGGTAGTAGTACGCGTTGCTGAAAGAATGCGAAATCCACCTTGGCATCTCTCTTTGGCGAGCTGAAGATGTTGCCGGGAGCAGCCTTTTCGACGGCTTGCTTGGCCTGCACAGTGGGGGGAGGGGGGGGGGTTCTCAAAATTGAATACTTAGTAGGGATCCTAGGGATCGTTGCCGAGCATTACAGAGGTATCCCTAGCCTTGCTGTAACATTATCTCAGGATTATGTGGGGAAAATCCAAGTTCTGCTGCTTGTGCGCACAAGCATGGCTGTAAGTCCGAGTTCTGTTTGCAGGGAGGGGATGAGTACTCGTGTCCCTAAATTTAAGTGTGAGACAGGCGTGGCAGGGGAGTGGCATGTGAATAGCATGTGTGCACACCTAACCTTTGCAACGCATAAGCTGCGAGGCATAAGCAAACAGAGCCCTCGCTTGGAGAGCGCACACGGTCGTTATCTACAAGCTCTCTAATGCCACAACGTCTACAGGTTGGCTGGAGCAAATGAAACACGTGAGCCTAGGGCCTAGGGGCCGTGCCTGAACGTTGCCTGAATCGAGGAGCTGGAAGTATGAATACACGGCAACATGATGATTACCCCCTTCAACCCCCTTGCCCCAACTGTCACTCCAGCTCCCCGTGCTTTCTTTGTCAGGGGTTCACTGCCCGGCACAGCCCAATGTCTGGAATGAAGCATCACTGTGCTGTCAGCAGCATTCCTGCGCTCACCCAGCCTCTGTTGGTACACTGCTAAATGCTGCTAATGACCCAATTTAAAAAAATGCTCCATGCCAAAGATACCTGATCCGTGAAGGTGTCCCGGTTGGACGTTCCCTCAGGCTAACGAGGCACTGCTAGCCTATGCTAACCTTCTGTATTCAATCCAGAGTCATCAAATAGTAGTCTACCAGCTTCAGCGAACAATTAACAGGAGCCAATTCATGAAGAGCCGTTTCAGCTCTCCACACTCTACACGCGGGAGATATCTCCATCTCGGGGCTGGCGAAACGCTGTCACTGGCGGCTGCAGGGGGGATGGCCTGGCATGCTGTTTGAAGGTGATGAGTGCAAGCCAAATTAGTACTATTGCTATTGTAGCTTGCGAAAGCTCTGCTTCATACAGCAGCTCTGTTCATCGTAATCGTCAACAATTGTAAGCAGCTCTGTTAAACCGAAAACCCTCTCCCCAAACCACTCTGAAGATGAGCTATGCCGCTTTGCTTGCCCACATATCTAGCCCTTACCTCAACCTAAGAAAGCCAAACAAGACAACAACAATAATAACAAAGCAATAGCAGGAATGATGACGAATGACAAGAATGATGACGGCTGCCCCCCTCCAGCCTCGCACTTGCCTCTGCACCATCCAGGCTCGCTGCCTCCTTTTTTAGTCAGTGTTACACAACATGATGATGTAGTTGATATAAGGTCATGAACTGTCATGAAGGAAACATGGTATCAGCATGTATCAGCAGGAAAAAGGCCACTTCGTTGACCAGATTCTAAGGGCCTCTCATGGGCGATGGGCTCAACATCAATCCAAATCTCTTATTATCACATTCAAAAGAGATAGGGTCTCCGGGAGAGCACGGACTGTTTGGGAGTTTTCTGGGGACCACAATTTCTCAACGACGTCATCCACAAGTGCCATAGGGTACTGGATTCAAGGGGAGTCTTCTTGAAGTCCTATGGATCCTCAGTTCCGATTCCGAAAGACCAAGCCTGTAGCGCCCCTTTGGGCACCACGAACTGCGCTCCAACGGGGGCCTGGCAAATAAGCAGTTTCTCCGTGGCTTTCAAGAGGGATCGCTGATAGATAGGGACCCTTGCAGTTCACAGGGGTCAATATGCGTCAGCTTTCACGGAACCCAGTCTCACCGCGATTGTCAATGATGTGGAGTATGAAAATCCATGATGGTCCTGTGGCCTGTGGCCTGGGTCTCGTGACGTCAACTTGGCTTCTAAAGAGGTTTATAGTGTCCATAGTAGGAATATTCAAGGTTTATAGGTTCATAAAATGTTAAAGGGGTTGTCCTGAGCAGTTCTACAGAGTCAGTAGAATGTTCTAGAAGGCTTATGGAGGTAACCAGCATGTGGGCCTGCGGCCTGTGGTCTGGGTCCTGCGGTTGAATTAATGTTTATAATGGTTTTACAGTGTGTATAGAGGGTCACAAAAGGTTTGTAGAAGGCTTACCACAGAGTCATGGATTTTATGGAAGGTTTACGAAAGGTTTATGGAGGGTTGAAGCGGTTCTCTAGAGGATTTATAGCGGGTGTGCAAAGGATTTTTACCGATGTGGAGGACTTATAGCAGTACCTACACACTGTGGGCGTGGTGTAGGTTATATATAAAGGGTCTAAGTTTGTGGTTCATGGGGTTTATAGATATGGCCTGATATGGCCTTTCCCCAGATGGGGAACCAGAGTCAGGAAGGGCCGGGAACGCGGTGTGTTGCCGACAATGCAGGGACTGCGGACTCCGGGACCCTCGATGGTTCACAGGTCCTGAGGTTGTAAACCTAACCGGTGCCAAATTTGCGGGGGTATCCACTTTTGTGAGCAGTGCTTGCCCAGCAGCTTCAGAAGCCCTAAGTGCAAGAACCCTAGAAACAACCTATCAAATTGAAAATCCCCAATACCCATCGGCCTGCATGAGGTCCACCAGAGGCACTGGCTCGGCCTGAGGCAAGGCACGGTATATTATAGGGGTTATATAATAGGGATAATGGAAAAGAACATGGTAACTACTATATCATAATAGGGTGTATATATACATATATGATAAGGCTTGGACTAGCCACCGCGTGACATGTGCAACCATCCCAACAAGACAGCAAGGGATAGGGTGTGTTTCATTCTCGCGTGGGGGAAACCATCTTCTGAAGAAAGGCATTAACCAGGAATAGGCGATAGCAACTGACTTTCATAAGACTCAGAAGACAAGCCACTAAGGCTGCTGCCTTCGCAGGCACCCGAGCGGGCTGCAGCACTCGCATCCTTGACTCTCCAATAAACAAGTTAACGCAAGGACTAAAACATTCACCATAACCGTACACGGATCTCTGTAAGGGGAATTAGACAGAGCCTCGTTTGGGGATCTTCATGCTGATGTGGTGCTTTGGTCTGCAATTCTGAATCTGAGCTCTCCCTGGATTTGCCGGGGTTCAGGCATGGGAGATGATGTATTGAAAGAAATGGCCGCTGTCGAAACACGGGAAAACTTAATTAGCGAGTTGCTGCTACAAGGGCTCTTCAAACAGAGATCCGTCAGTTTCACAAAGCAGCGAATGAAAGCCGGGGCCCCGGCTGTGCCATGTTTGGGGAGAGGCTCCTCCTAACCTCACAGCTGGGCTGGGTTCAGGATTTGGAAGCAGAAGAAGCTTTCACCTCCATCAATCAATCCATCAAGCAACCAACAAAACATTGCAGCTGTTATGGCTAATTGTCGGTAGCGAAATTGCGAGCACAATGAGTTCCGCGCGTCGTGGCTTGGCACAGGGGATAGTGTCCTGGAGTTAGTCCAGCAACTCTAGCAATGGCAATTGAAGTTCAGTTGGAAGCGCAGTCCTCCGGTCAGCAACCAAAGGCGATGCATCTGAGGAGGGGAACGTGATGGATTCCAGCAAGTACGGCAAGTTATTGCAGCAACTCTCCCAGTGCCAACGAAGAGCTCATGGGAGCCACTTGTAGCCGAGGTGGAGGGCCTGTTCGCAAGAAGCAGCTTTCACGTTGGGGAATCTACTTCAGGGAATGAAGCCCAACTTCCATGCCTGGGCTGCCAATGCGGACGGGCACAGGACTCAGTGCCACAAGCAAGAAGCGAAGCAATCGAATACGGCATGGCACACTCCGCTTGGTTCGGCTCGACATGCTTGACCCTGCCTGCCGCCCACGCTTCGAGGATATGAAGCGCCCACAAGCGGAGAATGGTGCGGAGATCCTGCGCAAGCGACGGGGAGCATGCACAAGGTCCTTCAAAAGCTCGTCCACTGGCCGGTCCTACTGACACTCTGCCCACCGGGCTGAGCCGAAGAGGACTTAGCGCTTGATTCGGTAAGTGGAGCCAGCTCACAGGCTGCGGAGACTGAACTGGGCCTGCTGCCTTGAGCTGGCTGCCCTCACGCCATAGCCATCTATCACTGGTGACATAGGAGATCCTGTGCCGGAATAGGTCTTCCTTACATGGAGCACATCAAGGCGTGCCAAGCTACGGCCCTGCCTCTGCCACTGAAAGGAGATGCCAAGGGACTGGACAGAAACATAGCCAGCCAAGTCTAGGGGCAAGTTACCTGATCTTACCTTGCCTTGCTGGCGGCCAGGGATAGGCACCCTGGTAGATGGGCCCACTCACTGTCACCGGCTGCGCAATCGTCGGGCCCAGACATCCTCTGCAAACTCTTAGTTCTCAGTCAGTTGTCGCGTTTTTCAACCATGGTTCCGCATGGTTCTGTGATCTCTGTGCCCCTCCTGTGTGGTGGCCAGCAACCGATGCAACTGGCAGGCGCACCTGGGCAAGGTGCTGCCAGACACGAGAATTTGCGGTAGACACACAATCCAGCAGTCTTGCAAGGCAGCCCATGCTTTTTCACTGCAGAGTGGGACGCACCGATGCAAATGGACGCAGCAAACAACATGACACAGGCATTCACTATTGCTTCTAGACTTGCATCGTGTAACCTCTCAACATTTTCACAACCTGAATGGACTTGTACAACAGTCAGATGCAGCTGACACGTTCTGGATCGGGATGCTTTGCTGTGAACGCTCACTTCCCAGGCCTTGGCCGTCAACATGCAAACGAGGCTGCTGCCCTTCTGTGTACAACAGCGTAAAGAAGATCAACACAATACTAAGTCACTCAGGACGCTGAGGCCGTCACCGCGCTGGGGCATCCAAGCCAGTCCGAATCTAGCAGAGCATCATCTCAACCCGACTCTCGTTAATGGGAAGAAGCAGGTTGACAGACCTAGGCCCTTGGAAAAGGGTTCTTGACAAAGAGCTCAACGCTGCCCGACTGTCGCAGTGCCTCCATGACAGTGTTTTCCTTATGCTTCCCGGTGTTCCTGCAGGAGACGAGTACAATCCAAAACTATTTGCTACTGAGCACACA